TTTTATTTCACCTTCAGAATGATGAAATGTCTTGAGCAACTAATCACAAGTCCATTAGAATGGAAGTGGTGAATGGTGGTTGATTAAGCACTGTACTTGAGGTCAGATGACATGGACTCAACTCCTACCTCTATGAGAGTTCCTTAACATTGTGCCTGGGAAACGCTAAATAATCAATGAGTATCTGTCGCATGAGATTGAAGGGCACTATAAAAACCGACCAGTTTGAGTTCTTAAAAAGGGTGAACACAGTGGGTAGAAAAAGAGATAATGCAAAGTCACAATTTATCTTGTGGCTTTATTAAGACACCGTGTTTCCTAAATTGAGCTCTTCCCCAGTTTATATATTTTCCCAATTATTATTAACTATAATGAGACAGAAAATATGAAAATTAGTCTTGTTTTATTATTCAGCATCTGATGAACCATGCAAGTTACAGAAAATATTTTTAGAAGTAGTTTTCTGTGTATATCAGATAACAGAATAAGATGTGGATCTTAAAGCAAAGCGAGCTGATTTGGAAGCACAATAAAAAGAGATGAACCAATTTATATCATGGACATTTTTCAAACAGAAGCATACAAATAGGTTGTCCATATGCTCTTAGATTGGTGTTTGGAGAAAAAGATGAAGAAGTAGGTTGAGGATTACTACTCAGGGTAAACTAAATGCGTACAATACAATGTAAGGAATCAAGACAGTGTCAGTATTGATCTACTATGATCAGCATTGCCATCCTCCTTCCCTGACCTCATCCTGACCTGTACTGGTAAACTACTGCTTTCAGAGATTATTATGGTAGCCCCTTGTAGCTGTTTTTGCCAGTGGCCCAACAGACATTCGAATTTGCATTTTTTTCAAATTACCTGTAAGTGCTTGTACAGGTAGACAGGTCAGCACTGCATTTTCATCGTCATTGAGGTCAGCTAAAGGTAGGTTTCCTGATAAGGCTACTGTAGTAGCTCACATATATTATATTTACAATAATTCCTTAAGAATATTGTACAAAGCCTCAGGTTTTCTTCTTTAATACTGAAAAATGCAAATTGTCACATTATCAGTGTCTGTTCCCTCTACATTTTGCAGTACCTGAGGCAAGGTCCATGTCCTTGGGTGTATTTTTTTGGGGGTGGGGTAGGGAGGCTCTCTGATTTTTTCCCAGGTCTGTGTATGTGTGTGTGTGCACATATTCGGGTGTATGGGTGCATGCCAGTCAGTTGAGGGTGGACTGGGAAGGATTCCAGGGTTTTACAATATAAAGTCCCTTAATGTCTTCAAGTAGTGTCTGATTTCAGCAATCTTGACAGAATCCTCAGCCATGCTCATGTCTACCTGCACCACCAGGGCACAGAGGTAAGTCTAAAAATGAGTTTCCAGGAACAGACCAAGTCTCAATTCTCTGGAACAAATATTCAAGCTTGTATCTATAATATTGGGCAAGTATACATGCATTTATTCTAAATATATTTTAACTGTCAGCTGCCTAATATGTCAATGGGTAAGATTTTATCATGCTTAAAATGAAAAAGTAAACATAGGTTATACAACTGACTATTTCTATTTACATTTTGAATTTATTCATTATTTCTGTTCAGGTGAGAGGTCAAGCCTGGAAGGGGGACACTTGTTAGTGCAAGAGAGAGTAAGAAAGCAGGAGGGATAAAGGTAAATATTTTTATCTTCCTCTCCTCCTGCACTTTGATATTTAAATTTCCTCTTAGTACATCCCATTGGACAAACCCAGCTGCAAGTCAGAGGGCAAAGGAGTCTGGGTATTGTAAACCATGGAGGGCAGCCTTCCAGAAAGCCTGAGGAGGACAGGCAAGGATGGATAAGGATCAATAGGATATGGATAAGGATCAGCTAGGAAATAAGGAAAAGTTCCTTATCTTCCCTTTCCCTCAGGTTCCTCCCTAAAAGCAACTACTTGAAACTCTTTAGCTTATTCTTTAGGTATTTACTTTCACATCTCTACTAAGCTCACTTATATTACTAATTCCTGGTTTTTAATACTAGACATTTTCTACTGATGTCCCAATTTCAACCCCTAATCTAATATCATACCAACACACACCAAATACATTTTTTTTTACCTTCTCAATATTTTATATGGTAAGTTTGGTTATATCAGTTTTCCGTGTTTGTATTACCAAAATTACACATATGCTATGCACAACTAAACATATTTTGCACCATGACTAGTTTTCTTTTCTTGCACAAATCTTTTGGCTGTTGTTCCCTAGGTCTATTAGTATCCATGTTGTTTTTTTTTTTCCCCATTCTTTCAGTATACTAAATATTACTTGTTACTTCCAACACTGGCTTTCCAATAATTATCTAAATTTGCTTTTAAGCCACGCAAATGCAGTAGGTATTGCATCAATGTCTTCTTTTTGGAATCATCCCTCCCAGAGGCTCTGACATATTCCAGTTTTGTCTGGTTGCTCTGTGAGATAGGTGCATATTTGCTTCCCTGGGATATCCCTTCACCTTATCCATAATGTTTGTTTGTATCCCCTGTTTGGTGTAGCTTATATTTCTCTTTTTATTATGTTGATGCAAATGTTATTGCAGTTTTGCCATTACTTTCAATGGCAAAAAAAGCAATTACTTTTGTACCAACCTAATAATTTACTTCCTTATTATGGCAGAACATAGAAGGTATGCATAAAAAGTTAAATTTCTGAGGCGCTCTCTCTCTCTCTCTCTCTCTCTCTCTCTATATATATATATATATATATATGTATATATATATATATATGTGTGTGTGTGTCATCTTTCTATCGTCATTCTTGCCTAACATTAGCTTAGTATAGTACTCGAGGTTGGAAATGTTTGTAACCTCGGATTTTTGAAACCATGTCTCCACTGTCTTCAAGCTGTCAGTGCTTCTATTAAAAGCACCCAGTCATCTGGGCACCTAACCATCTTTATGTGACCTGTTTTTCCTCTGACTTATAGCTTCTTTTGTCCTCAATATTTGGAAGTTTTACAAACATATGCCTTGGCAGTTGTAAAAATTAGCCATTTGTATTTTTCCATATCATCTCACCCAAAGTAAGTGCTGGCTAAGTTATGCTATAAGTTCTTGGGAAAGTACTTCAGTGACTGTCAGTCACTATCTTTCTATAGCTACACCTGAGAGAAGGTTCACATGTATCATATTTCCATTAGTTAGCTTCAGACACTAAGAGCTACTATACAGGTAAGATTGGCTAAAAATATATGCAATTACTGACTATATACTGTTCATGGAATGTTTTTCTCAGCCCCCCAAATCATTGTCACTACACTGTATTTTTTTTAAAACAGCTTCACTAGAAACATTTCTTAATGTTAAGAAGTGGGAAGTCTGTTAGTCATTGGGACTGATTTGCCAAAGTCCATGCAATTATAATATGGTAGAGTTGAGATTCTACACATACATTAAAATTGTGTGATCCTTAACCATTTGGAGCATGGAGGTGATGGTAGCTACCAATGATTTCTCAGGACTTGTGAATTATTTGAATATTTGGTGTCATAAATTTCTCATGTGTTTTAGTGTTTTTATTACATATTCTCAGCTTTTAACACCAGTTGATGTGGCTTTCACATATAATTATAATTGAAGCAAAATTATACATTTGGGTAAATGAAGGTATTTACCAGCACATTCTTTAGATATCAATATATGACCTTCAAAGTGATGTTTTTCTCCTGAATGAGCTGTATTTTTGCTACAAGACTACCTCTCAAAGAAGCACCGAACTACCTGCATTGGGTTTCAGCTCCCTAATTAATGATGTCTGTTTTTTGGTAACAAAGGAGAATAAGAAATGCTTATGCAACAGGTATCTAATGGCAGAGAGCAGATGATTACTTAACCCAAGGCTAAAAATTATCATTTTATTGTCTGCAGGTGTTTGAAGAGTGTCTCTATGGTTGAGAATTCCTACTGAATATTGTCTTCTTATGATGCATGATGGACACAGGATTTGCTTTAAAGATTTGTCTTCTTCCCCTGAGATGGGAGTAGAGTGATCAGAAAGGGAATGCATAAAATGAAAATAAATCTGTTCTAAATTCACAAAAAACTCATTATATTCAGATTATTCAGAGTGTTTATGAATGTGTGTGTGTTTGTGTGTGTACATATGTTTCTTTGTGAGAAAATACAGATGAGTCATCGACAGACTTTTGACCGGGGAGTTTAAAATGGAATGGTCTGATGCTTGTGTTAAAAACTATTGAATGTGCCTAGTTGCCTGAGCTGGAAATTCAAACTCTGTTGCAAATATCCTTTGGTCAAGCTTAGCATTCCCTAGAATAAACTCAACATATATTTACACCTTACTATTAAGAATAAACTATAATGGTTTTTTTTAAAAAAATTAAATACTGTACTTAAATGAAAAAGAATATAGGAGGGGCAATATTTGAGGACAATATATTTTTCTGAATTCAACACATACTAGGTAATAACATAAAATAGACATTTAAAATGATTTTGATATAGGGAAACTCTTGTAATGACTACATAAAACCTCATAGCCATTTTTAAAAGCAACAAAGAAGATGATCAAGTGGCTAATCTGATGTCAGACATTTCAAAGTTACTGTTCATCTTGAAGGAAGAAGAGATAGACTTAAAGGAACAGAGAACACTAACTTCATGTTTAGGTCTAGAAATATGATATTAAATATTATTCTTATTGACTCAGCATCTTGGTAAAGATCTCAAAAGTCGGCAGCAACACAGCTGATTCAAGTAACCCCATATTCTAAAGCGAGTTGCTAGACCATGTGTACAGGTTATCTGTAAGACTGAGAAACAGGTTGCACTAGCCTGATCCCATCATCTGCTCTCCTGGAGACCTTTGCTTCATGAGCTGAGTGTTCTGTCCCCCACTTCCTTGGTGAGGGGAAGAAGTGGATGCCTCCTCTTCATTGAGTCAAATGAAACATCTTCAGAAAGAACAACTTAGAGGGAGTTCAACATTAGTTTTTAGACTTTGAATATTATAAGAACAGGTATCTGCCTCCTACCTATTAGAATTTAAATGTGAGATGGCTTGGTAATAGCTGGCCCTACAGGCATCAGAGAAGGGAGAATTTTTCTGTACCTCAAGGCACAATGACCAAGAGGTTTGGTTTTCCCAGGGCTGAGGGAGTTTCCAGGAGATGGGACTTTCAGCTATGAAAATGGGTAAGTCTCCTGGGCAAACATGGCTACTAATTGATGAGCCTAGTCTAAGACTTTAGAGGGTGCCAGAATATATGGAAATTTCCTGTGGCCAGACATGGATCTTATCCAAGAACCAAAATTAAGTAGTCTTGAGAAAGCTTCATTCAAGAGGCCTACCTGGAAATGTGAAATGACCCAGAAGATGCAAACATTTAAGAAAAACAAGGGGGGTAAACCAGAGTTGTACATGGCCAGTCAGATGCAGAATTTCTCAGGTTGAAAATAACATAATTGAGAGATACCCAGGAATCGTCTCCTGAGAACCCACCAAAGCTCCAACAGAAGAAAGAGTGGGAGTTTTGTCACCTGAAGGACAGAATGCAACATGCTACATTATACATGCACCAGACAAGTAACAGCTTTTCTTTCCCTTATCACTTCCCCTTTCTTCCACTAGGACCCTGGAGGGGCTCCAAACAGCAGGTGGTGACATGCAGTGACAGAGTTGGTGTAAGAATTAGGAAGAAGCCAACTATAGCTGCCTTTCACCTACAGTTTGTAGTCACAAACCAGGAAAGAGGGGAAGTTTTACATTTATGTGATCATTAAACTACAATGGACATTGTACTACCTAAAAGTAACTGAGAATCACCAGGAAAATCTATGGGTCCTGTGATTTTTACCAAGACACAGGCAAGAACAACTTGAGAGAATGGGCTTGAAGGGGCAGTATGAGAAAGAATAAAGTCACATTTAATAGAGTCTCAAGTCACATGAAATAAATAGAGTATATTTAACCTCATCAAGACCTTGAGGTACAGAAAGTGAAAAATCATAGATCTCGACTTGAAGAGTGTGAAGGGAAAGTACACTCATCTGTGGGGCAGGAGGTTTTAAAAACATAGAGAACACTTATGGCAGAGTTGGAGGATGTAGGAGAGTTTTAGGGTGAGAAAACTGAAGTTTGAGATGACACAGGGGAAGGGTTTTAATAAGGTAGGAAAGAATAAGAGTACACGTACAGATGGATCCTCTGGAAGTCTTGGAAATACTGCGCTGCCTAAGGTAAATATCCATGTGAACCCTGATGTGATCAATGCAGTCAGAATCCCAGAGAATAGTGGGCCATTCATGACAGTTTTCTCTATTTAGCTGGAAGTTAGAGGTACAGGGACTGTATCTAGGGATCAGCCTATCAAGCGACTTCATCAGATGTCCATATTCCAGTGCATTTCTTACTTTGGTTATGTGGACTCTGATGCCTAAGGAGAATCTGTCCTATGAAACCTACTTAATTCTACTTTGAATTAAGGAAAACTAAGGAAATTCTGAGGCAGAAGAATCAGCACTTGGAGTGAAGCTGCTTGAGTTCTCACCTGTAACTACATTAACTGTTGTGCTTTTTATCAGATGAGCATGTCATTGGTTCCAAATAAATTCACTGCATACAACAGCCCTGCAGGATGGTGCCTGATGGAGAGGGTAAGCGGAGTCTGAAATGCAGCCTGTGATATGCTTGTCAAGCTACATGCCCATTATGTTGCAGTTGCCAGAAGCAATGTTTTTTTTCTCATTCATACAAAAGTGCTTTATGGGGTACTGAACAGGACTGGAAGCAGAAATTTAAGTCGCCTTACAAACAAGGGCAAGAACCCAAGCCTTAACACTGAGGCCAAATGGAAGATTTTCTCTCCATCAATTCATACCCCTGTTGAATTATATTCATTGGAAGTCATACATGCTTTGGAATTTTAGCTTAAATTTGGATTACTGTTTCTTAAAATGTCTTCAAAAACATTACAAAAAGATACAATATTAACAAAAAAGTAATTCGTATGCAAAAGGTTGCCTGTGATAGAAAATTTAATTAAAGGTAGTAGACAACAGGAAGTCTTTTAGATTAGTTATGGAAAATGTCACAGCCAGGAGAGGTGGGTGTGATTGATTTCTGCACTGAGTACTATCAGTTAATGTGGCACAGCTATCTATGTAAAGTTGCTGAGTGATTTTTAGTAGAAACCATTTATAATCCATCTGATGAAAGTAGTTAGGGAAGAAATTTAGGAAGAAATAAAATCTAAATAGTACTTAAAAAGAAATATTCTTTCACATACCTCAGTATTTTATAGGATACCTCAAAAGGGCTAACGTGTCTGAGAGGATGAACTTGGGTTAAAAAGATCAAACAGTTACTCTGCTACTGGGCAGCACCCGAAGACTGTGGATCTGGAATGAGAAGAAAGCTATAATTAATTCTTCAGTTCAACTAAACGGTTTTTTTTTGTTTTGTTTTGTTTTTCTCGAAACTAACTTCTTTATATACTGTACCTTCCTTATTCATGTTTTATTTAATATTTTAGACCAATCACAAATAAAGTAAGTTCTAGTTTCCTTCAGGTTTTACCATCATAGATATTACATAGTGTGTTATACATCCTTTAAATATGTTTTAAGATCACCAGCACTACGAAATGGGTTTCGACTCATAGCTGCTTTAGGAAGATATGAGGGAAGGGTGTGTATGATTTCCCATTTTCCAGAAAAGAAATATAAATATAACAGTTCCAAATATAATACAATTGCCAAACTACATGAAAGCAGCTATTAGTTAAAAAATTAATAAAAGTGCAAAAAATTTAAAAAGACAGAATGTAAGAAAAGTAACTTTAGGCTAGGCACGGTGGCTCACTCCTATAATCCTAACACTTTGGGTGGCCGAGGCGGGCAGATTATCTGAGGTCAGGAATTTGAGACCAGCCTGGTCAACATGGTGAAACCCTGTCTCTACTAAAATACAAAAATTAGCTGGGTGTGGTGGTGCGTGCCTGTAATCCCAGCTACTCTGGAGGCTGAGACAGGGGAATCGCTTGAACCCGGGAGGTGGAGGCTGCAGTGAGCTGAGATAGCACTACTGCACTCCAGCCTGGGCAACAGAGTGAGACTCCGTCGAAAGGAAAGGCAAAGGAACAGGAAGGGGAAGGGGAAGGGAACGAAGTAACCTTAGTGCAGGAAGACACTGGATGAGAGTAAATAACCATTTACCCACCTTTTGTAGTGAATGAAATTCAATATTAACGACATTGGGATTTGTGTCATTTCCCTCCTCCTTAAATATTTGTGTCACATTTTAACTATGATTTGATCCCTGTGGTTAGTTGTTTATAAACTTTCTAAACATCTCTCTTAGATATGATTGTCAGATTTTCTGCTAATTTTGACAATTTGGTGATTTATATATTTTGAAAAATCATCCCACCGAAACTTTAAAATACATCAATAAATATTTTTCTCAGTGATTACACCTTTTATTTTATATCCTTATTTCTTCCCCAATCTCCTGGTGTCTAAAAATAGACCATCTGTATGCACACATTAAAATAAATGTAATTTTGTTTTGTCATCTGTAATCTAACATTCAACCACAAACAACATTTGTTCATCTGTAATGCACCATTCAAAATGTCCCTCAAATCCATTTTCCCTGAAAAAAGCATAAAGACTTCCATGGGAGTCTGCTGTGATAATGGAAGGGAAGCTCCTTGCTCATAACCCCAATACACATTAAACAGACTGAGAGAAAAATTTCTTCTTTCTGCTCCCAGAATTCTAAAACTATCAGAATCACAGAACTAAAAGAATACTTTGACATATTCCTATATTCACCAACTTATTTCCCAGTTTATGCCAACTTACGAATGAGAGTTTTTCAATTCTTCATGTGGGGCTATACTCGGACGTGACCCCGAATTACTCATGTTACATGAAAGACATTTATGCTTAAACAAAAAACTCTTTAATTGTGCTTTGAATCTGGTTTATATACTGCAACATGGATGGGAATATTTGTAGAAATGTCAACATTGCTTTAAAATATGAATAAAACTTCTTTTAAGTTTCAGGAAGCACTCTTGCTGGTTTAGTTCCAGGAAGCATTCTTGCTGGTTCCCATCTTTGAGGGGAATCTTGAAGATAATTAATTGGTGCAAAATATGAAAGTAAAGTGACTTTGTGAGAGAGTCTATGAAGCCAATTCAAAAGAAGGTGAGCACAAAAAAAGACAAAAACAGAGCTGAACAGTTACTGTAAATTAAATGTGTGATGTGTGTTTCTTACTCTACTGTCTTTTATGCATGTACTAAAAATGTAAAATACATAAAAACTTTAGGTATATATATATAAGAAAAAACATTGCATGTTTGCCCCTTTTCAGATTCTCTTCTTTATTGAAATGTGAAAGGAGGTTTCCGAAGAAGGTCCTAAAATATTGCAAAAGAATATTCTTTTGGCATAGAATGTGTCATCTCTGGACAATTCTAATCCCAACTTGATAATCATGAGTAACTCATGAAAATATACAATATGTGGTTTGTATCTGTGCCCCACAGCCCAGTGTGTGAGCAGACTCCCTTAAGAAAAAATTTTCAACGTCAACAAAAATACATTTTCTATTATGTTTGTTTTGAGGATAATCAGAGTATATATTAACTTATTAGAGATAATGTTTATAATGTTTGTAGAATAGTAACAATGCCTTATGTATTTTAAGGGTTTCTAGATACTAGTTCCTTATGCCTGTTTCTCCTTCTGCCACATCCATCCATATGTCACAATCTCATATGAAATCAGTTTTTCATTCTCACACTTCAAAATCAAATTTATTCTGTGTGATAATTTTATTTCCTTATCCTTACTATATTTATAGTTGTATAATATTAATATACTTATATTTCATTTATGAAACTTTAAAACATAAATGAGAGACTTCTCTCTCTGGGTAGGATAGGGCAATTTGTGGCAGAACAATGTTGCTATAAAAACCAGAAAAGTTCATAAAAATTTGTTTTAAAAATATGTTTAAAGGAATCAGGGGGCTTCAGAAACAATAATAACTACAGGCACTAAAATTTTAGAGTAGATAGAACCTCTCATAGGTGAGATGATCATCTGTGACTGCTTTTCTTCTGAAGTCGCAAGTCCTGGGTAAGTGAGAATCTGGGCCTATGGGACAGGGCAACTTGTGGGGAGCAGGATGCCAGCAAAGTCCTTGGCAGCTAGAAGGAGCAGTAGGAAAATGAACGAAGGAAGGATTGAGACTTGAGGGGCTTCAGTGGTTGGTGTTCTTTTCAAGACATTTGTCTGTCCACATTTGAAGTGGTATGAAATGGAAAGTCAAGAAATTGACCTGAAAGCATGTGGTGAACATATCAGAATATTTCTTACAGAATTCCTGTGTTATAAACAAAGATGTACCAGTAAGAGGGGACAAATAACATAGATTGGACTGAACGTTGTTTAGGGAGAGCTAAGTTGACACTCTGTAGTCAAACTTTCTCCTGGGAGTACTTGGTAAAGATACAAATCAAGGAAGAGTTAGCTGCTGAACTCTAGGGCCAAGAGTGAAGTGTATGTGGCCAGAGCCTTACTCAAACCACAGCCCAGTGTAGACACAGCTCAGCCCTGATGAGAGGAAGGTAATCAGCCTCCATATGCCCCTCTATATCTGCCAAGTTGTGGAATGGGTGAATCATCTCTTCAGTGGAAGTTAAAATTATAAAGTCTCTCTACAATTCTTACTCACTGTGTCAAGCAGTCTATAAACCATTACCAAGTATTCCAAGAAACAGGACCATCATATAACAGAAACCAGAAAAAAAAAGATGTAAAATAGATCCAGAGTTGATCAAAATACTGAAGTTAGTAGATAAGGTATTTAAAATTGGTATTTTATGATTGATTAACATGATTAAAATTTTAATACAATTATGGGGGTGATAGGACAAATTGATGAAAAAAATAGAAGCTTTCACCAGAGAAGTAAACTTGTAAGAAGAATCAATAGGAAGTTTTAGAAATATATAGTGTATTTCAAGTTAAGTCATATATGAGTTCAATAGATTAGAAATTAGGTATGAAAGAAGACAAAATTAGTAAACTGAAAAACAGATTAATAGAAAATATCAAAATTGAAGTACGATGTGAGTAAAGGATGAAAAATGCTGAAAAACGCAGAAAGGATGTATAGAATCCAGTCAAAAATTCTAACACACATGCAATGTGAGTACCACATGGAGAGGAGCAAGACAAGGGGAAAAAAGCAATCAGTGGAAAAATAATGGCTAGAAATTTTCTTAAATGGTTGAAATAAATCAACCATTTATTTGAAGAAGCTCTAGAAATCCCAAATCAAATAAATATAAAGATAGCCCACCAAGGTAAGTCATAGTTAAATTGATTTTTTAAAAAACGAAGAGGCCAGGTATGGTGGCTCACGCCTGTAATCCCAGCACTTTGGGAGGCCAAGACGGGTGGATCACGAGGTCAGGAAATCGAGACCATCCTGGCTAACACCGTGAAACCCCGTCTCTACTAAAAATACAAAGAAAATTAGCCGGGCGTAGTGGCGCGCGCTTGTAGTCCCAGCTACTCCTCGGGAGGCTGAGGCAGGAGAATGGCGTGAACTTGGGAGGTGGAGCTTGCAGTGAGCCGAGATCCCGCCACTGCACTCCAGCCTGGGCGACCCAGGGAAACTCTGTCTCAAAAACAACAAAAAAAAACCAGACTGAAATGATTTCAAACACCAAATATCAAAGACAGAAAGCAAATAATACTATGAAAGTGCTGAAGAAGAATAACTGCCAATCTATAATTCATTATCTACCAAAAGTACGCTCCATACATGAAAGTAAGGATATTTATCTCAACCAAATGTAAACTTATTGCCAGCATATAATCATGAAGACAATCTTGTAAGGACTTTTTTCAGACTGAAGAAAAATGATTTCAGTCACAAACGGTATTGCAGAACGGAATGAAGAATACTAGAAAAGACAAATATGTTGGCACATATAGATAAATATAAAATAATGTTGTAAAAGTTAAAATATTTTGGAATTAATATGCATGACAAAAATAAGTCTGGAAGGGATAAATGAAGTTATTCTAACGTCTGAACATGAGTGGGGAAATTGTAAAAGTAATTGTTTTAATTAGACTGTGTAACTCAAGAATACATGTTTTAATCTCATCAGTAACTTCTGAAAGTACAGTAAAAGTTTGTGTGTATGTGTGTGTATGCGTGTGTATGGTGTGTGCATGTGTGTGTATGGTGTGTGTATTCAGCAAGGTCATATAATAGCATTATGTAAGAGGTCTATATATCAGAGGTTAAATAGAAAGATTTTATTAATAAAAAAGCTACAAAAGGAAAGGGAAGTGCCATAAAACAT